GTAGTCGGGGGAACTGTCCCGAATCAGCTTTAGAGTCGTCAGAGAGGGAACGACACGGATCCTGAAGGTATCCACTAAATATGTTCCTCCATCATCACTGATGGCTGCAAATGGGACTTGGTACATACAGGATTCAGGGACAATTAAAATCTCGGGCTCCTTCAGTAAACTGGCCACGGGAGCGATGATTATCTCGTAACACGACTGAAGATTCGTTTTAAAATCTTTCGGATCAAAATCACGCATGAGCCCGCGATTGTCTTGGTCATAGTGAGGTAGCATTGATTCGGTGTCATCTAATGAACGATCTTCGCAATTCTGTTGAAGTAGAATGCCAAGGCTGCGAAAGCTTTCTGTGAAATACTGATCCAAATCAGGAACTAATCTGGTCACCACACGTTTCTCCAGACTCACTTTCTTTCGTGAGAAGTGAATGGCTCCTGATGCTTTGAGAATCCAGTACCGTGCGTGTTCTTTTTCAACTGAAATGTAAAGACATGTACAGTTTGTTTCTTTTGTAATGATGGTTTGAATGCCATGCCATGACTGTGGGTTGCCTGAGATCAACTCTTCAACAGAGTATTTGGCTGCCATGAAGTCGGCGAGGCCTCTTGCCCGTCTCAGCTCCTCAACATAAAGAGCATCTCTTGTCTTTCCGGTAGAAGAAAGCAATTTACTGAGCAACTTGTATGGAAAATTGCCGTGCTTCTCTAAAAGAGAAGTCTTAAACTGATCGTTATCTTTAAGGAAACCTCGCAACGTATCGAATTTTCCAATGCACTGAAAAAGATATGATATGGCTTCTTTGAGATTAAATTGTGATAGCTTCAACTGTGCTAGTTGACAAAGGCAGCTAAATTCATTAAAGTTGTGTCCAATATTCTTGCTTATTAATAAGGCCCTCTTGATGTATTTTTCGGCCACGTTATATATGCCAAGTGATTGGAAACATACCCCCAAACTTGCGTATTCGACTACTTCTCCATCTCTGCCGCCAATTTCCTCATAGATTGCAAGGGCTTTCTTGTGATATTCTTGAGCTTTTTCATAATCATGAAGATGGTGAGAAATTCTCCCAAAATTACTGTAAACTGCTGCCTCTCCATGTTTATCGCCAATTTCCTTTGCTATTGCTAATGCTTGTACTAGATATTTATCTGCTCTAGGGTATTTTCCGAGTGACAGAAAAAAAGCTCCAAGGTTTGCATAACAACTTGCTTCTAGATTTCTGTTGCAAATTTCCTTACTAATTCGTAGTGCTTTCTCTAGATGTTCTTGAGCCTTGTCATGTTCACCGAGTAAATCAAACAGTCTTCCTAAATTTCCGTAATCCGTTGCTTCTCCTTCTCTGTCACCAATTTCCGATCTAATAGCAAGTGCTTTCTTGTAATATTCTTGTGCCTTGTCATAATTACCACGCGATTGAAACACTATTCCAAGGTTCTTGTAATCCTCTGCTTCTCCTGCTCTGTCACCTATTTGTTTTCTGATGGAAAGTGCTTTCTCGTGATGTTCTTGTGCCTTTTTATAATTACCAAGCGATTGGAACATTGTTCCCAACTTTCCGTAATCCGCTGCTTCTCCCCCTTTGTCACCAATTTCCATTGTGATAGCAAGTGCTTTCTTGTAATATTCCTGGGCCTGGGCATAATTACCGAGCAACTGAAACACGGTTCCTAGGTTTCCGTAATCCGCTGCTTCTCCTTTTCTGTCACCAATTTCCAGTCCGATAGCAAGTGCTTTCATGTAATATTCTTGTGCCTTTTTATAATTACCAAGCGATTGGAACACTGTTCCTAGATTTCCGTAATCCGCTGCTTCTCCTTTTCTGTGACCAATTTCCAGTCTGATAGAAAGTGCTTTCTTGTAATATTCTTGTGCCTTGTAATAATTACCAAGCGATTGGAACACCGTTCCAAGATTTCCGTAATCCACTGCTTCTCCCTTTCTGTCACCAATTTCCATTCTGATGACAAGTGCTTTCTTATAATATTCTTGTGCCTTGGTATAATTACCAAGCGATTGGAACACTGTTCCTATGTTTCTGTAATCCGCTGCTTCTCCTTTTCTGTCACCAATTTCCAGTCTGATGGCAAGTGCTTTCTCGTGATATTCTTGCGCCTTGTTATAATTACCAAGCGATTGGAACACTGTTCCTAGGTTTCCGTATTGCGCTGCTTCTCCTTTTCTGTCACCAATTTCCAGTCTGATAGCAAGTGCTTTCTCGTGATATCCTTGCGCCTGGTTATAATTACCAAGCGATTGGAACACTGTTCCTAGGTCTCCGTAAGCCATTGCTTCTCCCCCTTTGTCATCAATTTCCAGTGTGATTTCAAGTGCTTTCTTGTAATATTCTTGTGCCTTGTTATAATTATGAAGCGATTGGAACAAGGTTCCTAGGTTTCTATAAACCACTGCTTCTCCCTTTCTGTCACCAATTTGTGCTCTGATGGAAAGTGCTTTCTCGTGATATTCTTGTGCCTTTTTATAATTACCAAGGAATTGGAACATTGTTCCTATATTTCCATAATCCGCTGCTTCTCCCCCTTTGTCACCAATTTCTATTGTGATAGCAAGTGCCTTCTTGTAATATTCTTGTGCCTTGTTATAATCTCCAAGCAATTGGAACATGGTTCCTAGGTTTCTATAAACCACTGCTTCTCCCTTTCTGTCACCAATTTGTGTTCTGATGGAAAGTGCTTTCTCGTGATATTCTTGTGCCTTTTTATAATTACCAAGCGATTGGAACATTGTTCCTAGATTTCCGTACACCGCTGCTTCTCCCCCTTTGTCACCAATTTCTATTGTGATAGCAAGTGCCTTCTTGTAATATTCTTGTGCCTTGTTATAACTACCAAGCGATTGGAACAAGGTTCCTAAGTTTCTGTAAACCACTGCTTCTCCCTTTCTGTCACCAATTTGTGTTCTGATGGAAAGTGCTTTCATGTAATGTTCTTGTGCCTTTTTATAATTACCAAGCGATTGGAACATTGTTCCTAGATTTCCGTGATCCACTGCTTCTCCCCCTCTGTCACCAATTTCCATTTTGATAGCAAGTGCTTTCTTGTAATATTCTTGAGCCTTGTTATAATCACCAACCGATTGGTGCAGAGTTCCAAGGATTCGGTAATCCACTGCATCTCCAATCTCATCAAGCGCCCGACTGTCTAGTAAACTCAGACATTCCTTACACAACTCAATGGCTGGTGAAAGGCGACCAGTGTTTAGAAGGAAATTGGCGATCGTCATACCTATAAAGACCACTTGTACTGTGTCTAAAACCCCTTCTATTTTGTCCATTGCAGTCTTCTTTGCTGTAAGTTTGAAAGAAGTGAAGGAAACATTATACATAAGAAGCGAGTAATTAAAAAAAAATTTACAGTGTGCAAAACGCGGCTGACGGCTTAGCTCGTCAGTAGTTCTTCCTTACACGTAAATGACGAGAGGCTCTGAAGGAAATGCTTTTAAATGAATACTCTTTGAGTTCTCATTGGCTCTTAAAGGGTATTTTTCTTTCTTCTGATTGGCTATTAAGATTACTTTGGTTTTGATTTCAGACACAACACTCAATCGATAAGTGTTCTTATCACTCAACTTACTCGGTTTACTCAATAATTTTTGGAAAGGAAATTCCAGATGATTCATAACAAGCATGTTTTCCTGTATTTTTCCAATTAACTGTTTCATTCATCGAAACCAATTCCAAAGAAAAGTCATGTTATGAATATTAAGACGAAAGTACCTAAAGTATCCGGGGCTACAAAGTTTTCCAACTGTTTCCAAGTGAGACCCTCCAGAGACCGTCAAAACACAGAAATCTTACAAGACGTCTCGAATGAGGTTTCTGGTGCGAGGCTTTCAATCTACATTAGCAATAGGATTTGTGTAAGACACATATTTCAAACAAGACATTCTATGAACAATTTGAAGTGCTTAGGATATATCATTACAATCAACTCCCAAAGCATGCTAATGCAGTTAATCAAAATGACAAATGCACTGCGATTTCTACAGAATCTCTTGTTACTGATGCAAGTGTAGTAACCACCCGATGTGCATACTGTTCCTTAGTTTCTCCAATCCACTGCTTCTTCCCGTCTGTCACCAATTTTCATTCTGATACCACAAGCTGTCCATCCATATCGTTTCAGTTTTTCATGGACAAGTAAAATTCGCGCTCGCTGAAACTTGGTAACCCAACTTTTGTTACTGTGTAATTCACTCCAGATCAACAAAGCATGACTTGCTTTCATATTTGAAATGTAAATAGTCTTTTAGAAAGTGCCAAGCCATTGCGGTGCGACCTTTATAGCCAATGTGACAATCATTCGTACTTAACACTAAAATCAACCCCTGTACGATTGCAAATAATTTCTTGGTATTGTTTTTTTTTCTCTGAATTCTCCGGTCATTTGTTTGTTATCATTGCTTTGAAATTAAGTTTGTAGTGGATTGGCTGATTTTGGAACTTCACTAAAAGAGGCACACAGAATTTCAGTTTTTATGTAATCAATTATTTATACAAAGGCGTTATTTGCAGTCAGGAAAGATTTCCGGTTTGAATTTGCGATATTTGCATTTCGGTATCAGTGGTTGTCTTTGTCACGCAATCTAGGAAACGAAAAGTAAATATATTGATTGCCTGAAGCCAAGAATTTGAGATATTGTAGAATACAGAAAAATAAACAGCTCGATCAAATCTTTAGACACCAGCACTGGTTCAGCATGCAAGAGTAATCGCCATAATTTCGAACTAAAATCCCTACAGCTCAAGGTAGGAGCCTCGACTTTTTCCCCGGCCAATGAATCACGGCAAACTTCATTCGTCCTGTTTGGACTCAGAAAGGGAACGCTACTCACTTACCCACTGACACTGAATCATTCGACCGTTCATTCGATCGTTATTTAATGAATATTATTATGCATTCAACTCACTACCTCTTTTCTGATTGACCGAAAACGCACAGTGATTGCATGAATTCAGCGCCTGAGACGTCATCTAGCTGCAGATTACACAATTATCATGTCAAGGACACTTAAAGTCACCATGACGCAACCATTTTTTTTTTCGTTCAATGTATAATAAAACAATAATTAGATTCGGTTGTTGTGATATCGAGAATAATCAAGATCTCTTTTAGGGTTATCAGCATTAGCCTTTGGCTCGGCTGACAACCCCTACCTCAACCTTGATTCTTCCGAATATCACAAAAACCTCATCCAATAGTCGTTTAGTAATTACACGGAATGTAAATACAGCTGTATTCCATGTAAGTTTGGATATTGGGTTTTGTGACGTTACGTGATTTTAAACTGAGTATTTCATCCGTCGCCATCTTCTCAGCAGTTGATTAAGATCTAGTCTAGTTTTTGCCACATTAGTTTAACGACCCGAACATTAAACTTTAATTTCAGATCTTTCTTGAATTTGATCCATTCAAATTTCATAAGGTCCTATTTTCATTGTTCTCGTTAGGTACCTTCCTCAGGGCTTTTCATTTTCCTTCATGTCGTCACAAATTGGCGATAACGGCGAGGGATATCCACGTGGGTTTA